GGAGGATATTGGACTCAGTGGATGCTGGAACAGAGGGGTCATCATGCACTAACCCTCTACTTTCTTTTCATTGTATTTCTTTTGTTTTGTTCCATACCTTCGGGGATTTGGTTTGGTCCTCTCCGAACGTGTTCTTCACCCGTTTTCAATAAAATTTGATTTAATATACATATATATATATATATATATATATATATATATATATATATATATATATGATAAAATTTGTTTTGTCAAAATATAATTATCATATAATTAAAATGACACAAACAAAATATAATTTTAAATTACATATGTATTTTCGAAATACATATATATATATAAAATTATCACAACTATATATTTAATATTACTCTCACTAGTCTAGTATACTATTTCCTTACAAGTCCTAAGTGTGTGACCCTTTAGGTATCCATAACACTGCAATGATATTAATATAAATTAATACCATAGATAATAAGCGGTATCTAGCAACACATTATTATCCCCAGATTATGAAAAAGACGTTCATCTTATCAATACCTTCTATGACACAAGACGTTCTATAACTATTATCCTTCTGTCCTAAATGTCATGATTTAACACAAGGCATGGGATGTGTATCCTTGCAGATATTTATCAATCTCTAGATAGCGACATATCTGGGCATGGCCATGCACTTTCCCAAGTCCTACTATTCAGTGGGCCCATTGACATTATACTTCTATATAGTAGAAGTGACAAATCCTGTATCTGTTATTCACATCTCTAAATATGCTTAGCGGCATACCCAATGCATAATTGTACTTCTACCAGTATTTCAGATAGCATTAGTTATGAATCAAAGCATACGGCCCCACATATCAGAGAATGTAATAACTTCAAGTCTGAGGATAGTTATAGCAAGGTCGATTTGAGAATACTGATAAACACATTACTCTAGATCCATGCAGTATTCTCAAAATGGGTCAATCCAGTCACACATTATTGATATAATATGCACCTACGCACAGATTAAGATATCACAATACCTATAGTCTATGAGACGCAACTATCTCATCTCGTACGTACTAGTCTTGATACGTTATGACGTCCGTATTATCATAAAGTGCGACTAGGGATATTCTAGACATAGCCTTCGTCAAGAAGTAACAGTCTCATAATCAGAACATCGTAGTCCTCATCTATGTTACTGAAGCGCTATCGTTTATGCACTGAAGTTATGTTATGTTACACGAGATATAAAACATACTTCAAGGCCTTTCATTCATGATAAAGTGTACAGTTACATAGGTATTTGATTCCCGCTAGGGCAACTAAATACAACATTCCATGGCACTGATGAAGATGTAGGGGGATAGGGGGTATCCTTGTCTTACCCCTCTCTTGGGATTAAAAGTTTTGGAAGGGTTGCCATTGAAGAGGTTGGAAACAATGCTGTGTTTGATGGAGTTCATAACCAGACTGATAAATATGTGGGAGAAGCCAAAATGTTCTAAACATTTCTCAATATAGTCCCAAAGAGATCCTGTCAAAGGCCTTAGTGATGTCAAGCTTAAGGGTGATGTTGCCCCCCTTAGTTTTCCTATCTAGGAGGTGATAGAGTTCTCTAGCAAGAAGAATGTGGTCAATGATATCTTTTCCTGGAACAAATCCTCCTTGTTCAATGGAGATGATGTCCGGAAGCACAGAAGTAAGCCTAGATGCCAAGATTCTGGTGATAATTTTGAAGGAGAAGTTAGTGAGACTGATGGGCCAGTAGTCATTGAAGGATGCAGGTTCTTCCTTTTTGGGGATAAGGACAATGTTGGATTTTCTCATGACTTTAGGGGGAATGATTCCAAGGAAGAATTCCTGAACAGCACTGGTAACGTCTTCATTGATAATGTCCCATGATTCCCTGAAGAAGGTTCCATTGAATCCATCTGGGCCGGCACAACTATTAGAATCCAAATGCCACACAACATTTTTAATTTCTTCAAGGCTAAGTAGAAGGCAAAGTTTCTGGTTTTGGGTAGCCTGAATAGTATGAGGTATATGGTGAAGAAAAAACTCCATATTATGGGTGGGTTGAGGACTGTAAAGGTCCTTGAAGAAGTCTGCTCCAGCTTCAAGAATGTCTTTCTCATTTGTGACTAGGCTTCCTTGGTTGGTACAGATGGAATGAATGTGCTGTTTGCGCCATCTAGCCCAGCATGCTGCATAAAAGAAAGAAGTGTTAGCATCTCCTTGTGAGATCCATTTGGCATTTGCTTTTTGTCTCCAGAAGGCTTCCTATGTTTGGATACATTGGATCGGGTGTGCTTTAGCTTTCCCCGAGGAGGACCTAGTGTTGTTGTTAGGGTTACCTTCATATTCTTCCTCCACTTTTGTGCATGTTTCCTCTGCTTGTTTGACATTGTTGAAGAAGTTGCCATACGTGTTTTTGCTCCACAAACTCAGGGATTTTTGGGTGGCTTGGAGTTTGAGGTAGAGGCCGTGCATTCCCCTCCCCGAGGGGACAGAATCCCAGGTGTTCTTCATTGTACTCAAGTAAGAGGGGTGAGAGGTCCACAAATTAAGGAAATGGAAGGACTTTGGCTTGGTGAAAGATTGGAAGGAAGCCTGGAAGATAATGGGGCTGTGGTCTGAGGTGGTTTTGTTGAGGATCAAGTAATGGACCTTGGAGAAGAGTGTGTCTGCCAGAGGGTTAATAAGGAAACGGTCAAGCTTTCTAGAAATCATCCCATTAGAACATTTCCCCGTCCAAGCGAAGGAAGGGCCCACATGATGTGGTTGAAGAAGGTTGCAATCCTTAATACACTGATTGAAGTCTTCCATACTGGAGAAACATGGCACACTATTTCCTTTGTGTTCGCCAGGGTTCGTGGTGGTGTTGAAGTCTCCACCAATGATCCAAGGGAGAGTGATTGAGGAAGAATGGGAGCGAAGAGAATTCCAAAGAGGTAAACGAGAGTTTTTAGAGTGTAGGTCGTAAACTAAGGAGAGCCAAAAAGTGGTTTTGGTTTGGTTGTGGGAGAATAGGCCATGCAGGACTTGGTTCTGTTCATTGTGTTGAAGGAGAGAATAACGTGAAGAGTCCCAAAGAAGCCAGGCCTTATTGGAGAGGCCATGAAGGTGACTATCAAGACCAAGAGCGTATCCAGAAGAGGGTAGTTGGGCAGGAGAAACCATGGGTTCAAGGATACCTAGGAGTTTAGAGTTGTCGGAGTGGAGAAGTTGGTGTAGACGTTGGAGGGAGGAGGGTATCCCTCTTACATTCCATATGAGAAAATTCATAAGGTAAGAAAGGAAGTGGCAGGTAGTGATTGGGAGGCTCTAGCTTGTTGTCTAGTTACCATGTTAGATTTGGGAGGGAGGTGGGATTTTCTGCTTTTGCGAGAGGTTTTGACAGGTTGGAAGGGGGTCAGATCAATGTGAATTTCCCCTTGAGGTTTTGGTGGCATTTTTTGGGATATGAAGCTACTGAAGGCCTTGAGATCGTTGATTGTGCATGGGGAGGATTTTCTGCGTAGATTGGGGCAACCCTTTGTGTCTGAGTGGTGAGTGTAATCAACAAGAGTTTTAGGGTCTGTGAAGTTTAGATCACACCTAGGTGGACCCGGGTCAATACGGAGAGTTGGAGTAGGGGATAGGTTTTGGAGCAACTCTTCATCCATAGGATCATTAGGAGGAGATGATAGGAGGGTGGTGTTCAAAGTAGTGAGAGGAGGTGTGGGGGGAATTTGGAGTGAAGTATTTGGGTCGTTTAGAGGAGTGGTGGGGGGTGGGGTAGGAGAGGTGGGGGGGTTTTGGACTGTGATGTTTGGGGTGTTTTGGAGTGTGGTGTTTGGGAGGTGGGGATTCGTATGTGGGGTTGGGAGAATGGAGTGGTTTTGGATTGCATTGGCTGGAGTTATGTTGGAGGGAACGATACCTGCAGTAGATGGGGGTGCCTCCTGCATGGCTTTTGGAGGGATGTTTTTGGCCTTAATGCATTCTCCAGTCTTGTGGCCTGTTTTCCTACAGTCTGCGCAGAACTGGGGGACCTGTTCGTAATGAACTGGCTGCCAGAGTCCTTTGCCACCATTGTCAAGGAAGAACTTTGAGGGGAGGTCTCCGGAAACATCAAGTTCAACACAAACCTTGCAACCGAGGGTCTGGTTCTCGAAGATGTTGCTGCATCAAGCATGAGAGGTTTTCCGAAGATTTTTGCGATGGCTTGAAGGGCAACCGGGTCGTGAAGATGGACAGGAAGATGTTCAAGAGAAATCCAAATGGGAAAGATTGGACTCTCCTCATCACAATGAAAATCTGGACTCCACTTGAACACATGCATGGAGCAGCCCTGAATTTGCCAGAGACGCTTTGAGAAGCACCTCTGGTAGTCCTTCGCATTGCTGAAAGTAAGGAGTACATGCGCTGGAGCCAGTACCCCGATGGTAAAGCTGTGTTTGAAACCAATTCGTTCAAGTACAAGTTTGATAACTTTAAGTGGAGGCCTGGATTTTGAGAATCTTCCAACAAGCGAGAATTCATAAGGAGTAGAGAGAGCCTTAACCTCTGCCGGTGAGAAGGAAATCGCCGGGAAACCTTTGTGCTTGGTAATGGGCTTGTTGTCGAGGGAAGGCTGAGGAATAGTAGTTGAGGATCCAATGACATCAGCAAATGAGCGCTTAACGTCGTGTCTTGGTGGAGGAACAGAGGAGAACGCCGGTAAGGGAGAGAGGCCTACATACCTGGTTTTGGTGCTGCGTTTGGGGTTGTTGCTGGTGACAGGGTTTTGAGATAAGGGGGGGTTGAAGATAGGGTGGCCGTGGCGACCGCCGGCCGGTGGACGAGGGGCTGGAGGAGGGAGAGAGGAGAGAGAAGCCATTTTATATATATATATATATATATATATATATATATATATATATATATATATATATATATATATATATATAAAATTCGAACAAGGAGGCAAATTTCATTTTATTAATCAAACAAAGTGGATCGGCCGTAGCCTATATAGCACATCACACAATTAAAGGCACACCAAAAAAACAAACAGCATTTTATTTTGGATTTATTAAGGGCGATCGATCATCATCAGATCAATTATTCCTCCCAGCTAGGATTAATGATGATCGAGCCCATGCATTTATTTTGATCGCCATGCAAAGTAATTAAATGAGTTCCGGCGGGCGGGCGGGCAAATCGATCACTCAAGAGCGAGAACAGCCTCAAGAATTGGGGAGCTTTCCTGTGGAATGGTAAGAGTAGAGCCCGAAGCCGAAGCCGCTTTGGGACGCCCCCGACGAAGCCAGCTTGGAACGGACCTCATCCCAGGCCGAGTTGTATTTGTCCTTCTCCCCTATTTCCGTGTATGCCTTGTTGCTGGAACCGGGAGCCCAAGGATCATCCCAAGCAATGACAACGTCACCCCTGCCGCCGGAGGAGCCGTTGGCTTTGGCGCGGAAGACGACGACGGCTTCGGTGCCGCTAGGGGCGGCGTCGTTCTTGCAGTGCAGGAAGCCGCCCCACTGGCCGTTCTGGAGGATTTTGGGGTAGGAGGAGTCAGTGTAGAGCTTGCCGTGCCAGTCCTTGGAGGCGGAGAAGTAAATGTTCTCGCCGATGGCGTTGTATATGGTGGCCAGGACGGAGATGCCGTCGCCGTACGCGCTCTTCAGCTTGTTCACGTACTGCTTCACCTGCTTGTGCTTGTCGTCCGCCCCGATCGCCGCGTTCGCCGCCGCAGCTCTCGCTTCCGTGTCCGGGTATTCGATCACCATGATGGCTTTCCCGAACACGTTTTCTGCAGACATTATTATATATCCTTAATGCTTCTTTATGTATGTTGGTATGTATATTGGCACTGGAGTACATTTTTTTTTATCCCGAAAACACCACTAAAATTAGTGGGGTAAGGTCTAGGCAACCCTTACTGAATTTATTGATAAAATCATAGAGTTACACGTTCGGGGAGGACTAGACCGAAGCCCCAAAGGTTGAAACCAAAACTTACACAACACACAAAATACAATACATCGAATCCAAGAAAATAAAAGATAGGCAAAACTTACACAACATCATGTGAGTGTTGTTGCAATTGATTTCCCCCCAAGCGCAAATATCTGAATTCCCGAATTAACCAGGCTCTCATCTCTGATCATCCATCCCTTGTTACGGTATTTCCAATTCCACAAATTCATGTTGCTCTTAATGTTATAGATTATATTGTTGGTATTCAGATCTTCGTTACTGAATGAAATTGCAGAATATTGCTTCCAAATACACCAAGCAATAACTCCTGGCATCACCAATTTCATGTTCCCACGAAGTGTATG